TTGGTGGTAATGGCCAAAGTGGCTCTCTGTGAGCTGCAGACCGAGTACAAGTGTTTTGTAAGAATGGAAATGGATTTGGAATTGTGCTGTACTGAAACTCATCCTCTGAGGTTAAAAGGCATTTTTTTTCATAAAAAGGTCTGTTTCAACGATATATTACTACAGATAAGTTCTACAGAAACACGCAAGATAGATGTTGGACATGTAGCTTATTTATGGCTGAGGGTTGGGTTTTTTTTTACATCTTTTGGTTTATGTCCAAAAATTCAGTCTTTTTGGCAATCTGTGATTAAATTTGTTAATGAAAATTTAGGTGATGGCATATCCTTTGATTCAAACGTTGCTTTATTAGGTTATATAAAGGAGAATATTGTCCCCTTGGATGTAGAATTGGTCCTGAGTTTATTTACAGCTGCCAAGTTGGCAATAGCTACAGAGAGGAAAAAGCTTGAACATCCTTCCAAAACAGCCCCAATGAATGAACAAGATTGAAGTCCAACAGCACCTTGAAGACCAAGTTATGAAGGGAGCTTTGATTCTTGAAAGCTTATGCCCTGGAAATCTTGCTGATCTCTAAGGCAGGGGTGTCAAATATAAGGCCCAGGGGCTGGAATCAGCCCATCCAGAGCTCTTGTGCAGACTGTAAGCAACTAGTGCAAGGGAGGGAGCAGGAGACTGCTTGGGGGAGTGGGTGGAGCCACTCCAATTGTATCTTCAGCATGGCGGAACAACCTCCTCTGCAGGAGTCAATCAGCATGGGAGCGTCCGTCCAGTGTTGCACCACTGGCTCTCCAGTCCGCCCATATGGGTTTTCCTTTGCACCCCCCCTCCCAGCCCATGGGGACTTACAGTGAGGATACAACAACTCAGAGCTTACCAGCTGCTGTCCTTTATACAGTTTATATCTCTGGCACCTGGCATTACATTTTATGGCACGCATGGCCCAACCCAACAAAGTGACATTTATGTCAGATCCGGCCCTCGTAACAAATGAGCTCGACACCTCTGTTCCAAGGTATGACTGGATTCGAATCCAGCTCTTCTACTGCAGACCAACACTGCCATCCACCTGAAGCCACAGTGAATGGTTTCATCATGTGTGGAATATTGTGTTATTCCCAAATAAATAATTGACAATGTTCTCTTAAGGGTATTGAATGCTGGGTAATGTTTATAATGTATTGGAATTATAAGGTTTTTAAATAATTATTCTCATGTTTTTCTTCAAAACCGGTTGCATATTTTGAAAACTTAATAAAAAAGGAGGAATGAATATAGGTGGCCATTTTGTTGAAAGGGACTTACTATAAAGTATTTGGAGCCACTGAGGGAAGTTTGTCATTTCAGAACATTACTGCTCTAACTTAACTCTCCAAAGGACATACTGATTCATCGTTGTAATCTTGAAAACACACACAAAATCAGAAGCACATCTCTCTTCCTCAAGCACAATTTTCACCTTTGTTATCAAGGCACTGGTAAGGCAACAGAAGGCCAAAATCCTATTTTTATTTGCTGATATAACTCATCTTTTCCCCAAGACTACAGTTTCTTTTGGCCCCAATTTTGAAGTTTATTACTTGTCTAACATCTGGAACATCCTTTCCCACTCCACCTCAATTTAAACAACAAAAAACTTTTTACACCTTGCCCAAAATCCGTTCAATCCTTTCAGATACTTCCTCAATTTTTTTGTTTGGCCTTCATCTTTCCTATGATGACCTCATGGCTCACACAGCTCAAAAAGATGAGAACCATATGATTCAAAAATGTCGAGCCAAAGCAGCTCTATGGGTGGGAACACAGCTGAAAAGGCTTCATGTTGGAAGATGCCTGTAAAAAAAACGTGCGAAACTAGGGGCTACGAGTTTTAAAAAGCCTAAGGGGCCCTGGCAGATGACACTGCATTATTGTGTAATTTAAAATGCTTGCTTCTGTGGCATTATGCAAATATATTTAGAACACACTCAGATTACAACACTATGTCGCTTGGCATTTAAGGAGGCATGCCTGTTATTTGCACAAGTTTACAGCATCACCGGGGTACTCTTTGCAAAAACGATTACGAGGTAATGTGCAAAACTGAACTTATATAGAAAGTTAACTTTGCTTCACATGTGCGGTGGCACCCCCCCAAAAAAAAATGACAGTGTGTTTGAAGTATTCATCTGTAACTCCAAAATACAAGCCCCCAAAATAAACAACAAAGTTAAGCATACTTTCTTGGAAATAAATGGGATTTACGTCCACGTGTTTTGCCTATTTATAGTAGAGAATTTAGAACTTATTTGTAGATCTGGACAGTTAAGCCCGCTTATTCAAATATTTTTAAACAGAAGCCTAGTCAAGATGGAGACAGTTTAGATTTAAAAAGGAAACTAGGATATTGGATAACACAACCCATGCCAGTGCACCAAAAAGGCCTGTAAGCATATTCCAAATGAACTGAAAACGTGGGATGGCAGAGAAAAGATTAGTTTTCAAAAACAGTGCAGGATTTCTCTTCTCTAAGGTTTACCAATCTTCTTGTAAATGAATTAACAATTTACATGCAAGAATGAGTTTCTCCTAACCCTGTAAGAGGATCCTCAACTAGAAGATCAATAAGGGGGAGACTAGCTGACTTGGTAGGCAGCTCACACACCAGTACTAGTTGCAGTGGGTGTCAGATATGCCCTGTCGCACACACGGTTTGCATGGTTCTGTTCTTAGCTAAGTCCAACAGGACATCCTAAAGTATACACCAAAATACTTTGCAATTCTCAAAGCTTCCTGGCAAAGGAGACTCTACATAAAGGTTCCTGGAAGGTAATTTTGGAAATGGCAGCGTCCAGTCTTTCAAAGTTAAAGTGAAAAGAATGGGAGTTTTCAAGTTTGTTCCTTTTTTAAACAGATACTTATAACACACTGGCTGATTTCGCACTAGAGCTGCCTCGATGTTGCGCCGCCGTTTGCCCCGATACTACTGGTCAATTTCACACCCGAAGCCGCGGGGCTGCATTTGACCCGCGGCTTCGCCCGATTTCCTCCACAGTTTCATGATCCTCAAAAAACAGGATCACGAAACTGCGGGGGAAATCGGGCGAAGCCGCGAGTCAAAATGCAGCCCCGCAGCTTCAGGTGTGAAATTGACCGATAGTATCGGGGCAAACGGCAACATCAAGGCAGCTCTAGTGTGAAATCAGCCACTCTTTACTTACGCTTCACAGACTCACAGATCTGCTAGTGTAAAACACATTACCTGCAGTGCTGAAGGATTCACTTTAACTATCTGTAACTAACTTTAACCTTAACCCTAAATACGAGAATTCCTGTTTTAAGAGGGAACAAATAACTCAAGAAACAAGTGAGGTGGTGTTTTCTGCATTGGATATATATGAATAAACATGACTCTAAATATAGATAAGTATTAGCATAATATCTGCCTAAAAAGATCCAGGTGGGCACAAGAGGCAGGAAAACGAAAGCTCATATCTTGAATAAAATTTAGTTGCTCTTAAAGGTGCCACTGAACTCAAACTTGGTTCATCTACCTAAAAAGAAAGACGAGTGATACGGTGGGTAGCTGAGTTTCATTTCCAGCTCTGCCACGGAATAGTTATGATGCAGCTCTGAGTAGATCACTTTCCACACTGACTCCAAGGCAGACTTTTCATTTGCAATGTCAAATTAAATAAAAACTGTCTGGGACACGAAATCTCTTTCAGTGCTAGGCTCAACCCACAAACATACATGCAGAGTGCCCTTGTCCTCAACTCCAAGTGACTTCCACAAATTGACAGTTACTGGACAGCATCCCCTGGGTCAAAGAATATTGTTTCAGGCAAGTCCCAGGAACTCTCTTTTTCAGTTGTTTACCAGTCGATGGAATTCAAAGTATCCGCTATTGGCATTAAAACTACACTCTGGCAACTTGACAGGTAAGAAACTCTTAGTAGAGACCTTTATGGACACTGATCA